GGGGGGGGGGGGGGGGGGGGGGGGGGGGGGGCATGATTAGGCAGTCTGACCCCTGTGAACCCGCAACCCCACATCAACCCTCAACCCCAAACTTTCCTAAACCTAGCCCGAAAGCATCAACAAGCCTCCCCAAAAGAGACTGCAAAAACGAAAGTCCAAACCTCTAACATGCGGAACACCATGAACATGCGAAAGAGCACAACGCAAAACGAGAAGAACAAATGCCAACACAACACATAAGCCCTAACCTCCAATTACGCTTTGAATCACTACCATGAGCCGCCGCTTGCAGCCGTGATTCGTCAGCTCGAAAGACCTGAGGTTCAGATCAAGGCAACTGTGAGCAATAGCTACGAGTGACTAAACCAAAACTCTGTACGGGCTGCATACGGTTTATACAGTTTAAGCACATACAGAGAGAGAGAGAGATATGTATATATGTATATATGTTTATTTATTTATCTATTTATCAATTTATCTATTTATTTATGTATTTATACACTCATGTATATGTATATGTCTGCATGTATGTAGAGAGAAAAAGAGAGTGTGTTTGTGTGTACATGCCAATTAAACCGTGTACCATGGCTCACGGTCATCCTCATTTTCTATCAAGTTGAAGGCCCTGCTCTCTAACCCTGTGCTGCAGGAAACTACCTCTGAATGCACAAAGTACAGTTGCCCAGTATGTCGGCCTTTCTGGCTGTAGCATGGTGCGGCTGTTTGCATGCATGAAAGTATGCAGCGCATGTATATATAGATATATGTGCACACATAGATACTTATGTGTATATCAATGTCATCATATCCGTACTATACCCATGCACACGCAAGTTTGCTGCTTGTGCACGGAGGGCCTCTGGGCGCATCTTGCACCACTTGCTGTCTGAGCTACGGCTTCTGCGCACGCGCAAGGCGTGGCGAGGGGGGAGACGGGGAGCGCACCAATCTGCCAGAAGAGCCGACCTGATTTCATCTTTTGACATACGGCAGTTGCGTAAGACAGGGATCGAAATCATTAAAAACGATTTCCTGGTCAAGAGTCTAGAGATTTCTTGTTTGTGAGGTTAAATAACACATGCGGGTGCATTAATTCTCAATATGTCTCGCTGTCCCCACTGCTCTCTGTCCTTCTTCTGACGTATGATGTCAAGCCTTTAAGCGGGGTGCGCCCTCCTCGCTTCGTCTCCTGAAACGCTTCCCTCCCCACTGCACCCATCTGAAGCGCTAACACCTACAAACCTTCGGTCACGAAGCCCCGTCGCCAAGTCGCCTTGGTGGACCGTGCACCGGGAATTGGAGGACTTGGGCTGCGCCGCATGTGGGGCCTGGGATTGCGGAGGTCAACTTGTTGTGATATTTCGTACATGGCTTGAGCCAGCCATCGTAGAGGGGAGCTGCAGAACTCAAAGTGTCGGTTTCAAGGTTCAGCAAATGCTATCTGCTATCTTCAGCCTTGCAGGTGTCTGGGAGTCTTGCTCGTGCTTGTAGCCTTAAATTGTACGCAATCACTGTCGCCCGCACACGCAGAAGCATCATAGGGCCCTACTAAAGGGGCAGTAGCAGCTGCCGTAAGCGACGACAACGACTGTGACAACGACAGAATCGACCACCACCGCAAAGAATGGCCTTGCTACTGCTACCGCTACAGCTACCACTACTGCGATTACCACCTCCACCTGCTACCTACTTCTATGTACTACTCTCAGATGCTACCTACGACTTACTTGCTACTTACTACCCATTACGCCACTATATACCACATACTACGTACTACTTATCACTGGACTTAAAAGTACCAGTCGCTGCTACTAGCTTCTGACCACTTTCTGGCTTCTGGCTACTGACCGCTCACCACCAAGTACTACGACTACGACGACTGCTCCCGTTACTACGACTACTGCGACCACGACGACTACTGCTGGTAGTAACGCTACTCCAGAACCCCACCCCCCCCAGCCTTGTCGACAGCTTGCTTACCCATTGACTTGCGTTTTGTGCCGGCACCAGTCTGTGGAGGTCCTCGGGTACACTGAATTGTGGCCAAAAGGCGCTGCCAAAGGCGAACCAACGCGGCTCGGTGCCGTGGCGGCTGCAGGGGATAAACACCTTAGGCATCAAGCACTATAAGGGTAACCAGACCCAATATGACACGAGCAATGGCGCTGCTGCCAGGGCGGGATAGTGGTGGCACTTTGCACCACGACCATGACAGCCCTGCTGTAAGATTTTGGGGGAAGCCTGCAGGTTCCGGACTCTGCGCAACTGCAGTTCCTGCATCGGTCAGCCCAGTGATAGTTTAGGAGTCCCCTGGATTCGGAATGACTCGCAGCTAAATCCTGAGAAAGTTTAGGTTACGGAAATGTTCTCTTAGGAAGTTGAGCCTCAGGCCCGAGGGCATGCTGATTAGTGCTGATTCCCATGGCCCGTGGCTTAGAAAAGTCTTCGGCCATGGCGATATCAAGGCTCTGAGGTTGAGACTTGGAAAACTGCCGTAGGCTGACTCGACCTTTCGTGCCGCCATCCAAGTCAGAAAAGAGCCTCCGTGCAACTGACAACTGCGCTTACCACGATGACGCTCGAGGCACCCATGTTTGCTAACTGAAGATAATATGAAGCGAAACACAAACTCTTGTAGGCAGAACTGCCGACCAACATCACACATCATCGGCCATTCTTGAGCTGTCAGCGAGATGCATTGGCGTGACCCCGCCTCCTGATTCGGTGCTCGGAGAGATCTGACATTCCAGCATCGGCAAGGCCTGGGAACGCCGGAGTTGCACCTACTTGCACGGTAAGCGACCTTTGATGACCTCTACGAAGACTTACCGTCATCTGTAGCAGAGCCGTCATCTGTGAGCAAAGCCGGAAAGGCTTCTCAGACTTAGGACATGCTGGGCAACCACGGCGCAAACGCGCCGCTCTTCCCACGTGTCATGTATCTAAACCGCGGAGAAACTGAAATCCCTAAATCTGCGACAATGGGTCCCAACATGTCCTAACCCCTGCTGCGTGACACCGGGAGACCGTGAATGAGATCGTCAAATGTCATAAAGCCATCACCTCAGTCAACAAACTTCGCAAACCCCGATCGTTGCAGTCCACACGTGACCTTTCTTAAACTTCTGCAGATTCAAGTGGTGCGCAACTCCAAGGCTCGTGGACTGGTTTTGCAGGAATTAGTTTGCGTTTGAGTAGGGGGTGTCTGTTCAGTTGTGGCGCCGAATGCTTTGATAAGGCACTATGCACTGCTGCAAAAGAAGACTTCAGCACAGGTAAACGACGTTAGCCAACGACAAGGGAGGCAAAACAGCAGCTGCATTCTTGTCAACTGCTTCGGAAATTGCAGGCCAAGCACAATTCGCGTCGAAATTGCGGAAGATGTTGGCCAGGGAACCTGCAAGCAAAGGAGATACTGGCTGGCCCCATGCAGGGCATCAGCGTGTAGATCGTCTCTCCGCTAGGCACGGCTTAAGTTTAAAGCTCAAGTTGAATGACTTCGCGGCTCGACAGATAGCAGAAGCGGATTAGCGCGCTTTTCAAGGACCCACGCCTGGCTGCATGCGTCCCCTAGCAGTGAATTCTCGTCTGGCTGTGTCTCCGAAAGCCTCATCTGCGCCGAGCAAGTCGCAGAAGCCTTTCGCCAAACTCCTCACGGGCGGCTCCAATGTGCCGCTGCGCAAGAGACCTGCCTTGGTGAGACTTTGAAGAGCCGCCGAAAGATCTTCACGTCGCACCTGGCAGCGGCATGCCCAGGAAACGGAGCTGAGCCAAACGATGACAGATACGCCTACGAGCCGGTAGGTGCTTGCTAGCAGTTTCTCTGCATCCTCAACGGACTCGGCTTGCAGGAAATCTTCGGCCGCCTGCTTAGCCCAATCGATAAATCTCTGGACGCTCTGGGCTTTGGCGTAAGTTGCCTCCTTCGTTGCGGCGAAGAGTGACGAGGACCAGGGCAAGTCTGCTTGCCACACCTCTACCCACTCGCCCGAGGCGACGCAATCATAAGCCAAATACTTCTCCCACAAGACCATCTCCACCCGCCCGGAAGCAATAGCGGTTTTCGCCGCCTCTAAGCTCGACAGTGGTCGCAGGTAAAGGCCACCCAGTGCTTGCCAGTCACGGTGCTGGCCCAACATGTGCACAGCAAGCTGTGCACCAAGGCAGTTGTGAAGCACGCCGCAGGGAGATCTAAGCACCTCACTTGCTGCGTCCTGGGCTTTGAGGCTGGAGACATACAGCCCAAAGCGTCGAGGTGACGAAGTATACGTGCCACAAATCCGCAGTGAACTGCCAAGGGACACCGCTTGAACGACATCTTCTGTCTGCAAGATGGCAAGATCCAGAAGCCCGGCACCCAACATTGCAAGCACAGCATCTGCATCGGGTGGACATTTGACCCAATGCAAGTGGAAGGCAAGCTCATCCACATTCAGCTGATTTGCCAGCGCGAACTGGATGGGAGCAGCCGCGATGCCGATGGCACATCCAACACGGAGACGAGGCTTCACATGGGGACCGGCTTTGTCGCATTCGCAGCCAGGGCTGGCCGTGGGTGCTTCGCACGACGCCGAAGCGGTTCCCATCCCAGGAACTCTACCGAAGCACTATATCTTATTCTTTTCGAGTCTGAAAAATCAATGATGTGGCTTTCGGAGTCAATGCCTGCAGGCCTTATATGCCACAAGCCTTGATCTGAGACTCTAGGAACACGACACCAGGCGCTCAGTCAAGTAGTCGAGGTGTAGTATAGTCATGAGGATTAAGGATTTCCCGTCGCCTGTGCCAGAATGATCTTCGCACACACTTCATGCAAGCACGAGTCCGTCAACTTGCACCTCCGCGTGTAAGAAGCCGTCGATCCAGCCCCGAACTTGTGCAGAAACTTCTCTCACCCGAGGTCATTCTAAAAATCATATTATGGGCGAGGACTAACAACAGGCAAATATGGAAATAAGCATACTGGAATTTGCCCCTCTATACCGTTACACGTCGCCACTCATGCCGTTACGCGAGCACACTGCGAAGATGCACTCAAGCACACGCACCCAAGGGCACGTGAAAGTACGCTTCTGTAGGTGCATTTTTGGGTTTTTCTGCCTCGATGCAGTGTGCAGTGTGCGTGGGTATACTTGTGCTTGTGTGAATAACTGTTTCTATGCCTCGATGTTAGACACACACACACACATGCACATACATATATATATATATATACAAATTATATACACGCACACTTTCGCTCGATATATAGTTATATGTGCCTTTATATATATATACACACACACACCACTTTAATATGTATGATTCTTATGAATGGTTAGTTATGTACACATAGTGAGAGCGAGAGGGAGAGCAACACCAAACCAGCGACAAAGAGTTAAACACGAAAGCCAAGAGCGCAACAGCGAGACAGAGAAGTACATTACGCGAAAGCATGAGCGGCCAAAATCGCTTTCCATCAATCCGACATATCCAAGGCCTCCAAACTTTGGGAGGAGGGCATCCACCTCGATTAAGTTGTGCTGTCTCTGGCGCTCTGGGGCAGACTGGCTGTGAGGACGGATGCTCTTTTAAACTGAACCAAACTGTTGATGGACGTGACGCTGACTGCATGCATCTTACTCCACACAGCTAAACCTCACAGGAACTTCCTTCACAACACGGCCCATGCACCAATCTCTCTGAACCACTGGCCCGCAACAACGGTCTTGATCGCACGTACATTCGCACGTGGTAGGGCTGGCACAATCTCTTCGTTGGTCCATTCCTGCCACGTAAGCCCAGGTCTCGGGAAAAAGCTGCTCAAATGTACTTGGCATTGGATTCAACCCCGTCGCCGAAGTCTGACGGCCCGTCGCTAATTTCGGCGCACTTCGGCTGCTGATTTGCCGTCATGCAGCAGACAGAAGGTGCACGTTTGGCTGCCAAGCCGGACACAACGAAGATGATTGAGGAACACCCGATTATATGTGTTTGTGGTTCCAACAGTTTTGAGTTTCGGGTGTAGTGCGTTTCGGGCGTAACGCAAGGCACGCGACTCAGTGTCTTTCCAAAACAAAGCAACAAGTTTGCCGCATTGCTCATTAGGTTGTCGCAGGGGTTCTTCCAACTTAAATAGTGCAACAATGTGGATGATGAGGATGACGACAAGAACGGAAAATTTGATGATCATGCTGTTGCTGCTGGAAATGATGGACCTGATGGGGAAGCAAGATAGGATGAGTGATGATGATTCATGAGAGCGGTTCTGGTCACTGCTTGTGAGCTTGCTCCTAGTGGCTGGCGGTGATGGGATCACGACGTGCTTGTACTCAAGGAGCTGTCAAGAACGATGATGACTACGGCTGTACTTGCTGGCAGATAATGTCTCCGACGATGCTGCTACTAAAAGGGGCCTGCTGCTATACTTACCATGTTTTGCCAGCCCCACACCATCTCTCCTCCTCACAGTCCTTCCCTGAGCCCTAATAACCCCCTAAACTCCTCTGTGCACCCTCCCCGATCCTCAGACGTAGCGATGGGCTCCGACGCAGAGGACCAGGAAGACCAGCCGCCGAAGCCGAAGGCGCGCACCTGTCACTTCCATCGGTCTGGGCAAAGCTTAGGGTGTCGACGCCCCTTTGCTGGGCTAAGGCGGCTAAGGTTTCAGGATGTGTCCGTGCTTCAAGAGCCTTCGACGACTTGGGGTAGTTTTCCACCCTCTTCGTTGACCAGGTCGCACTTTGAATGAAGGGATCGGGTCTGCAGTAGGGTCTTTTTGCCTCCTACTTCGCAAGTACACGCCCTCATTGCAGGGTGCTTTGGGGTCGGCAAGATTCTCCTTTCGACGAGTCAGGAGCGCATCAGCACTCTGCGCAGATGGGCCAAAGTTTACAGTTACTCAAGTAGCGAGTCGCCACCGTGTGTTCCTGATGTGACTCTCCTCCACACAAAGGTCACAACGGTGTAGGTTTCTTGTGCCTTGGGGTTTAGGGATGAGGATCAGTCTGTACGGCGCAGCATAAGGCTTGCTGCGTTGTAGGTTGCTGTGTAGTCTGGAAATGTCTGGGAGGAGGGTTCGTTGGGTTTGGAATGATTTGAATCTCTGATGGGCACCTGCCACCGCCTGCCACCCACAGTTTGAGCAAGATGATGCGCCCCTGCAACTCATAAATCCCTGAAGGTGTCGATGCCTACAACCCGGGTCGGTAGACGAGCTTAAGTGAGCTTTGTGGGGAGTTTAAGCCGCCTGCTCTGCTTGAAAGCTCGGAAAGTTGAGGCCCGTCGCTTGCACTGCACATGCAGAAACGCACTCCTTTGCTGCAGGCCTTACAGGTAGACAAAGGGGCTGAACTTACCCGGATATCCAATCACTTCTAAATTGAAGAGCAAACTCGTCAGAGGCGCTCGGAAGACGTACTGTGTGTACCGCTCGAGCGCTTTCACCTGCAGGCTGATCCATGCAGGGATTGATTGGAGACCTGCATCTCTGATCCGTCAGCCTGCTTTTCTTCTTGCGACAAGCATCAGCAAAAGCAGCAACCCCATCTCCAGCATCACCATCACGACAACTATCACTACCTGCCACGGCTCCCACTGCCAGTGCCGTCACAAGCGCAACCCTCCGGCTCACAATGTCCTGAGTCCTCAACCCCAAAGTCTTGTGAACGACTCATGGAACTGAAGCGCCAAGTGGCTGCCAGCGGTGGCGACTTGGCGCGGAGAATGCACTCCTGAGTCCGGGTTTTGAATTCTCTCACGTGGAACCGCTCATACTTTGAGACTGCCCCAAGCCCAAATTCGGTTTCGGGTCTAGGGTTCCTAAAACCTTTATTATATAAGCCCTACAAACCCTAAACTGCCCCAAACTGTTGCAAGCAAGTTTTGCTCCTGCCTCCGTCCCGGGATGCGGCTCCTTGGCGGCCTTGAAAACAGCGACCTGCGACCAGGCTCGCGGGCAATGACGGTTTGTTTTCGGATGGGCCTGGATGATTATTTAGAACAGGCTGCAGAGACTTCTTAAGCTGGTCCGGCATCGTGCTCAGATACATAAACATGACCCCTGCCCCTCAGCAGAACAGCAACAAATAGCAGCAGACTCATAAACCAGTCTTTGCTTCCGTAGTCCTGGAAGCAGCAGCGAGGAGAAACACGTTGTAAAGCATGGAGACACTTAGTTCCTCAGAGCTGAGATCGCCAAACCGGCATAACAGCTACAGTGCTACAAACATACTACTATGTTGCAATTACTACAGAAAGGACTGTTGTGGCATCTGCCATAAAACAGTTTTGACGGATCTACATTACTCATGCTTGCATTGTTAAATGACGTATACTACATAAAATGATACATACTACACGGACATCAACATGCGCTTGTTTGCTTCCTTGTTTAACTTGGTCAACGGCGATCAACGAACCTCAGGCCTAGAGATCAAGCATACTCTCTGAGCAAAGAAGCCGACCGCGTATAGCACCCCCCCAATGCATGTTGTGTCGTCGGGAACCCTGAAAACAGAATGATGAACCCTGCACACGCAAACCCATAAACAACGTCAAGGAAGAAGCCAGCTTGACTAAAGGTTTGCAGGCATCTTGCCCTATCATTTGTGGACGTGCATTTGTTTAGCATCAGGGCTCATCTTGCTAAGAGGTACTGTCTGTATGTTGTGCACCTGTCAAGCACCCCCCTGGCCTCCCAATAGCGAGGATGCGTTGCCGCTTCGGCCAGCAAAGCTTCGCCCCACGTGACCTGGTCGGTTGATTTCGTTTATAGTAGCGACTTGGGATGGGCTTCGATCTTCTGATCCTCGTCCCTTCGGCCGAAGTACTGCGGTAGTGATGACGGCACAAGCCTCTCGCCTTGCATGGTGTACACTGAATCCGGACACAACAGCCGTCCCCATCATCATGTACTCCAACAGCAAATCATCATGTACTTTGCAACCCCACAGTCTGCCCTGAAGCCGGCTCTAAAGAAACACCCACTACCAGTAGCAGGCTCCTCCTCCTCCTCCTGCTTCTTGCAAATCTGACTTTTCATGATTCTCTTAATGGCATTGTTTGAATATGTTTCAATCACCGACACCGTGTCCGCAACCACTGGTTTGCTTCTTCTACTGCAGTTGTTGGTCTTATTGCTCCCCCCCTCTAGTGGTCACTACTTCCCATCCTTGAAGTCGTAGTCTCCATGTTCGTCCTAGATCTCCTTGCCCTATGAAGCCTGGATGGTGCGTGCACTCGCGGCTGTCGCCCGTGGCTTCGGTGGCTCCATTGGCGGCGCTGGTGCGGTTCGGACTGCGGCAGACCTGGGATGCTCTGGTACAGCTTGATGGCGAGGATCTTTAAATTATGTGGTGTTTTCCTTCAAGACCGATGCAGTGGAAATCTTCCCTGTGGCACATTGGGGGGACATTCGGTGTCTGATAGTCAGTAGTGTCATTACCACAACGGCTTTCACCATCACAACCCTTGCGCCAGTTCAAGACTGTTACGTTGACAGTTGAGCTTCCTTACGAATAAAACGTTTACAGGTTCGGTTCGACACTCGCATCCGGACACGCCCAGCGATGGCAAAAGCTGTTCGATAGAATGCTGACAGATGGCTATGCGGCTTGTTCGGTGCCCGGGAATGCTTCTGTAACCTACAGGTACGGCACCAGGCATAGCCATCCCCGCAACCGCCGGAACTGAACGACATGCACGACGGCATCCATCGGAGCAGCAGAGCTCACCCTGAAAACCCAGGTGGCTCATGCTTCCCCGACGCTGTCCCCGACTATGGCAGCGTGGCGGAAACAAAGCAACAGCCAAAGCGCATGGCTCCTCATGACCAGTGCAATTTGAGCGCAGGGTTCTGAAGCATTGATGTCTACAAACATAGCAGACCATGATGAAAAAAGTAAACGTGAAGACCCATACTGTACCGAGTGAACAAGCAAATGCAGGAACGTAAGACTCGTGCTGAATCAATGAGAATCAACCAACCCAATTGCAGGTGCAGCAATTACCCGCATTGGCTGCCTGGGGCAACACTTGGACACACTCCGAAACGCAGCCCTGCAGCCACTCAGAATGTGGTCCAACACCCGCTGCATTGCCTTGGCTGCTTCAACTTGTGGATCCTCCAGTTGGACAAGGTCTCCAACCCACGTGAAGCCCAGGCAGGGGAGCTGATTGGCTGAGTTGTACTGCAAAGAAAGACCAGCCTTGGGCTTGTAACACCTCAGGACTGGGTATATCGCACTCATTTTAACAAAGATTATCAAGTACAAAGGAGCCGAGCGATCGAGGGTCCAACTGGCCTTCAGGAGCCTTCAGGACAAGCCACGCGCACAAACTCGGAAGCGATAGCGGCGGTCAGGCAGCAGGCCTTCCACTTTGCCTCACCAGGGGGCAGACATCCAGGCGGTTCAGACATCAGCGGCCAGACTTTTGGGTGGCAGAGTTGGAATTTGTGCTTCTGAACAGGGAGGATATGCTTCCTCGGGCTCAGGTCAGGGCGTGCCTTTCTTTGCAGTCACGTCCAGGGCATAGTATGCACAGTCATCACCTGAGCTTCTATGGTCCGTGGTAGCCAGAAAACTCCGTCTCCTGATCTCAGATCTCAAACCGAACACCCGAACACGCTCAATCTTGCGATCCGAGTGGCCAATGCCAGTGCCCTCCAGGGAATATCCCAAAATCGCACCTGCGAGCTTGGACTGCAGGGTTCCATGGCCGACCAGAGAAACTGTGGAAATGTTCGGGGGCGCCGTATTCCGAATGCACACCTGTCATGCCAGAGCAGAAACCAGCGGCAAAAGGCAACAGTGCAGCTAATGTCAAACATAAGGCAAGTGGACTGCCAGCGACAAGTCCTGAAGACGATCTTGGATTAACCTGCATCGCGGTGTTTGCGCTGATACGGCAGCGATCCCCCGACCTCCACCATTGTCTGCAGGAGCGGACCATGCCAAGGTAGCCTCGACGAATCTGCCAATAACAAGTCACGAGAACAGGCGGCACAGTGCGAGTAGAAATGTGTCACACTGATGCACGCAGAAAGAAGGGGGTGCTTCCTCACTCGTTGCGAGACGGAAGGAATGGACAGTGAGCCAGAGAGACACTGAGACAGAGAGACAGCGTGACAGACAAACAAACAAAAAGAGCGACAAACAGAGAGCAGTGTTTGCTGCTATTTCAGTCATGTCGCAGACGTTGCTGTCGGCTCATTCAGCAGCCTGTGCCAAGATGATCGGTTACCACTGAACGGCTGGCGTGTCTTTCAGATTTTGCAAAGTCTTCATGATGTACCAATGATTTCTTGGCTTGTGTCTGCACTCACTGGGAGAGTACCTGAGTGGTGCTTTGGCGCAATCCATCGACCCTGAACCCCTGAACGCGTTTTCTAACTCCTGAACAAGTTATCTATACATGCCGTAGGAAGCTAACACTAAACCTCAACGTTGCAAGCAAACCCGGAACCCAAGTCGCCGGCAATCAACGGCCTCGGCATGCCAGGGAGACCTGGTGGAACTGGTCCGGACCGTACCTGGGCTTTTCTGCCTCTGGTCTTTACGGGGGAGACCGTGAAAGACTAGAAACGAAAGCTCATGGACTGCTTCATGCTGAAAGTCCATGAGCCCAAAGCCTTTGAAGCAAAGCGAGGCAGCACAAGACAAAGATACGAACAACTACTGGTCCGGGCCCCAGACCTTCAAGTGAACCCAATATACTACTTACCGTTGATTGAACCATCTTTGAAACATAAGAAATCCGAGGGGCCAAAAGCTCCGCCGCGGGAGAGGCGCCCAGGGCGCTCGTGGCACAAAGACGAAAGAAGTAGCGGGTATTACCACTCCTTGGGCCGTGCAGAGACTTGGAACACTTCTGGTCTATGTGCACATCTCGTCGTTTCGGAGTTGAGGCCCAAATCTAGGCTCCGAGCGAGGCCTTGGGCCCCCAAGTCTATGAAATATAGCCATTTAGGGATGTCATGGTGCATCAGGAATATGTGTGTTTTTTGTAGAAACGAGGAACTTGGACCGTGCAACAGTGCCACGCAACATGCAGTTTAGATTAAGCTCACAATCGGAACTGTTTGCCTGGCTACAGGAAGGTGCGGAGACTCCTGTTGGGAGTAGGCTTGCTCGATGAGGGGGCAGAAGCTCGTGAGAGTCCCGATACCAACGAGCATGCGTCTTCGAGAACTATTGAAGGATTTGGAAGGAAAACTTCAACCCTCATCCCCCCTGACAGCAAAAGCGTGCAGCCCTGGCGCAGCCCATCCACCAGACCCTCTGTACAGTGCGGCTCGAACTCCTGCGAAGCATCGACAAGCAGCAAGCTCTTCCGACCAGAACGGCGGCTTTCAGAAGCTAGGCATGCAGATTGTAAGTACATGCTATTCTGTCGGGCTTCACCACGAAATTTTTTGTATGCTGAGATATTTATGGACTCCCCAAAATTTACTACTGCTGCTGGTACTGTTGTTGCCAGTCCTGCAAAACTGCAGGAAACACGATGACGACGACTGCCAGCACCAGCACCAGCACCAATCACCACTACCACTCTACCGCTGCTTCTGCTTGTGCTGTTGTCTATAATAAACCAACATCAACAACAATGCTACCACGGTTGCCGGTACAATTGTTCTTACTACTTTTGTCAGCGCCACGCGACAAGTCGTCATCTTCCTTCTCGCCACAAGCACGAACATGATCATGATCATCATCGCAACCATCATGTTGGTTCGGTCGTAATTTGCCAGTCTTCAGTATTGCGCACAATGTCGTCGTCTCCTTCATAAGTATAGAACAACTAAATAAGCGCCTTCCTCTGTATCGGTACCATTACATGCTGTGGTGGCGTGCCTTTATTTGGCGGTCGGCAGGCTCACTGGCGTTAATTACTTCCAGGGTGTACTTCTCGATGGGCTGTCCACCTCAACTCGTGACAGTTCAGAGCTCCGGATCAGCTTTGAGGGCGCTAATACGCTGCCCATCAGAGTTCTGGGGTTCAGGTGTAGGCCGTGTCTGTGTGGATTTGGCTCGGGCTTCGGGAATGTCCGTCGGATTTGACTGTTCAGCATGGTAGGCTTAACCGCAAACCCCTTTAACTCTGCAACCCAAAGCCAGGCCGATGCCTTCGCCAATCTGATCTCGATCTGCCTACTTCAACGTCCCGGCCATCTATCACAATCTATAGTTTGCCAAAGAGTTCTACCAGGCTCTGTTCGCATCATTACCGATTCTGTTAGTGCTGCCGGCCTCGCAGCCGAGCTGGAAGCTCTGCACCAACCCTGCTACGTCCACGGTTTCCGCTGTTGTTGCGGGTGCTACACGTATTGAGCAAGCTTTGCCAGCCTTGCACGAGAACTCCTCGTTACTACTCACACGAAGCCTTTCTAGTCGCACTCGTCGCTTCTCAAAACTCCGAGCCGCCATCGTCCGGCGACGGCTCCCATCGGAGCGTCACTTCCTGCGCTTGCTCCTATGGGTATACTTGAAACCTCGAAATCTTACAGCGTCGAAACCTGCAGAGCAAGCAGCTGTAGCCTCCGTAGACTATGTATGACACGATTTGAACGCGATTCGCCGGAAGAAAAGCTGGTCCCCAAGTCTATGAGTCTACTTCGTAAGCCCAAGGAGCTCGAAAGACATGCAAGTATGACATGCGCTGAGAGCTCTTTCGGATCGCTGAGCTTGGCACCACAAAAAAAAAGAGCACTAGGAAGACAGGACAGCTCAGGCCGCAGCCTTCTGCAATGCC